AATAAATAAATAAAAAATAAATAATAAGTAAAAATAAATAAATAATAAAATGAAGTCTTGAAGCCCAAACTGAGATAAACCTAATGACATCATCATTAGTATTTTTCCCAGACACAGGAAAGCTCCCTCTAAAGCCACAGGAGATGTTATATAAGTGTTTTACAGTCTGAGTACTTCACATGTAAAATGGGTGGAGTGCCTGTTTAATCCCTTAATGATATTTTAATACTTTTGGTCTAAAAACAACCAACATTTTAAAAATATAGCCTATAATAAAAAATAAAAAAATCTGAATCAGCTTTCAAAACCCATGGCGAGTAGATTTTTGTTCTACGCCTATTGTTAGAGAGTTTGAGGACTTACATTCTTCTAACATTATGATCTAACATTTTAAACAATCGAATTACTTCCCGATACACTCTCAACCAAATTGAACATAGTATGCCCAAAGATTATATTTCACATTATACTGTATTATTGCACAAGTTTCGCATTTATTGTGTATTTCTATTGCTACACATACAGGGACTAGTTGAAATGATCCCTACAGGATTCGGTCCAGTGAATGAATTTGAGCCTATAAATGAAAACATGCTGCTGATGTTTAAATAAACCACACGGTGGCGGTGAAGACCTGCAGGCAGACTTCTCCTCATCAAGCGTGTTTGCTGTGTCATCTGTGATTCCTGACGTAATTGTTGGGATCCAGGTGATCCCCAGGAGGAAAAAACTACATATTTAGTTTTATTCGCTTTCATTTAATTTTTTAAAAAAAAGGAAACATTTAAAGCACTTTATGTGGAAGATTTGGCATCAGTCTTTCACAGAAATCACCTAAGTAGTAGACATTTTATATTAAAAGGAGAATATGCTTGTTACTACATGTGTCTGGGCTATTTAACACTGTAAATAAACGTAATCCAGTTGAGCTAAATCATCCCTTGTTTTTTTACACTGGCCAGTAATTCCTGCATTAGTAGGAATATGAGGTAGTATGAATTTAAAACTCACAACTTTGGGACCGCAGGAAGATGTATTTTAACGCTGCAAGCAAGTGTACTTTCACTCATGTTGTTGCTAAACTAAGCACTGGTGGTTGATACTGAATTTCCATAATTTTCAGTCCATGCATTATTCACAAGGAATTTCTCTGAGGTGCATATTTAGATGGGAATGGGTCTTGGATAATGAAGGCTAATTTCCCCGGTGGCATTGCCCCCCAAATTAATCTATTTGACCCCTCCTTTTTTATTTTACAAAGAGAAAGTCTTGGGGGGTTGGAGGTGGGGGTGGGGGTTAGAGAGTCTGATACACACACATTCACAATCTCTCTCTCTCCCCCTCTCTCTCTCTCTCTCTCTCACACACACACACACCCCTTGCGGTGTTTTCCGGGATCACGCCACCGCTTCCACTTGGGATCCACGCAGCAGCAGCGATATGGCTGATCATCACCGGGACGGGACGGTGCTGTGTTTATGAGCGAAAGTAAAGGCAAATAATGCGTTATTACAGGCCCACGATGCGCTCGCTCCGGCGATGGGACACCGCGGCACACCGTGCAACACAGGAATAAGACTCACCTGGCGGGTAAAATAGGCAATCTGGTGTGTTTTACAGCAAACTAGTTGGAGGAACTTGTCGCAGTGGATTCATCCCAGCGTGCCGCCTGGATTACCACACACAAGTGGAACAATAGTCTCCTGCAGCACCAACACTAGCAGGTCAGTGGCAGCGCTATTTTTTGTTTGTTTGTTTTGTTTTGTTTGTTTGTTAATGTTCAGCCTGTCTTAACTCCTCGGTTTTTTTTTTTTTTTTGATCCCACAATGAACAACGCTTGGGACGATAAGCAGC